GCGTATTACCGATTAGGTTTGCTTCTTTTCTCGGCTCGTGGTGGTTCGTCCTCGCCTTGTTTTCCGTCGGGCTCAGTCTCGGCGCGCGTTGACTTTGCGTATAGTCTTGCCAGTGCGACTTGAAACCGCATGCGACCTTCGATACATCGTCAGGCTCCGGTATCCTTGTTACCGATCTTTGCAACATCAATTTTCCGAATCGCGAACGTTAACATAGAACGACGAAACAGCGTGATCTCGAGTCAAATAGCGAATCATTTTGGCAACGTTTAAGTGTAAGAGCTAACAGTTCACGACTCGATCGCGCAACTCCACCGGAAGTTAGCCAGGCGAAGTGTTTCTCGACCTCCGGTAGCATCCACGGTTCGGTAACTTCCGTCCAGCAGAAATTCGGCAGCGAGACAGCTGACGAATTGTCGTCCGACTTGTACACGCTTTCCCGGTCCTCGTTGTACTCGTAATTGCCATAGCTGGCCAAACGGGAGTTAGGGATAACATCGCGAACGCTTTTCGTTCGATAGGTACCGTTCTCTCTGTACTTTGCGGTCAATTTGTAATTCTAATCGTATAAGACATATCGCTATCGTTAAACTGTATCTCTGTCTCTCTCTCTCTCTTTCTCTGCCTCTCTGTCATTGCATGTTTTCTATTTAGTAGTAGTTGTGTAGTGTGGAGTTTGGATTAAATTGGAAATTAAATTAATAAAAAAGGATAGGCTGAGTGACTGAAATTGAGGGAACTCACGAAAGTTTTTACCTGAATCGACAGGGATTGATTTAGTTTTTGAAACGGATCCTCCTTGTCGAAGGTCCAAGCTTTGTCGGCGATTAGACTTACGTTCGCGTAGGCGCTGTTCAGAAGCTCTTCGTCGTACGACAGGAATGAAGATATCATTATCTAAACATTCTCCGGTCGAGTTTATTTCAGCGAACAGTTAAAAGACAATATCTTTCAACTAAATCGTGGTGGTGTCGTCTGATATTTCTTTCGTCTGAATCGGTTCAGTATTATCTTTACGAACTAAAGTATTTATCTCTGCCGTTTGAATCGGTAGATTCGCAAATAGGAGTCATTTAATTGTCTTCGAGACGAGTATCGAAACGATACTCGACAGAAGACTCGAAATATGTTCAGGACAAAAACCGTTTCTCGAATGTCTTCACATTTATGAAAAATCATACAAGGGGTAAAATTGGTCGAGCACTATACAGTGAAGAGCATAACCGTACCAGTGATGGATGAAAAATTGTCGATCATTTGAACTGATATTAGTAATTTTGTAAAAAAAAAAAAAGATCATTTTTGACAATATATTGAAGCTCGAAGTAGGAAGGAATGGAATATGATCATTTCTCTGCTTTTTTTTTTTACAAATGTCTTGTTTATTACAAATACGATCGATGATAAAGTACACGCAAGTCCATTCACACATTTTGTACAGATCAGGCGTACGATATTTACAACGGGCAATTCGCGTAATTTACAAAATTTTGACGATATCGATGATTATTCAATGATAACGCTTCGAAACCTCGTGGAGAAAGAAAATCAGTCTGGCAGTTACACTCTGTTCAACGTTGTCGATGAAATGCAAGATGGAAGGAAAAAAAAAAAAA